TCGGCGCTGTGACTGTTCCTGCAGTTGAGAAATCGAGCTTCGAAAATTGGTCAAGGTGGTGTGTTATCTTGTGTCATATACGGTATCTGCCAGGTGGGGGTGCGACACGCCACATACTTTTCTTGCGCCGTACATTGTGACTTGCCCACCTTGGTAATCTCTTCGTGCTCCTTCTCCAACATGGCGATGTTGGCGTCCAACCCCTCTCTGTCGCCGCCCCCCCCGTGCCCGCTTTTTGAGCCCATTTCATCGTACTTTCCTGCAAAAAAAAAAAAAACGACGGTAGCAAAAGAGCGCGGCGTGATTTGTAATTTCACGTCAAGCAACAACATCGAAGCGTTGCGATGATTCAACAACAACATTCCTGACGACGTTGCCCGCTGATTCGCTGATTGTTCCAGGTAAGAACAATCTATTCGCGATACTATTAGAGCGGCAAGCAACATCTTAATAGCGGGAATGCAAACGCGGGCAGAAAAAGAGTCGCTCCCCTGAGCGGGCGAAGAACAAGAAATAGGGCGTGGAACAAGCTCATTCCCGCGGAAGCACCACCCATTTGCTTTTCGATCCATCCACGCATTAACTCTACGTGACGCTCGAATGCAGGCCTAGCTTCGACCGTAAGACGAGGCACAAAGGAAGGAGGACTTTGCCCGCTAAAAGATAGCCTACGCACACGCTCCATGCCAACTGAGAGGTAACGTCCACGCCTTGACCATCAATGAACCCATCAAGTGTACAGTATGGCACAAAAACACCAGTTCCTACACGCAAGAGGTGCCGAAAACCGGGCATCGGTAAAACAAGTACAACGAAAACAATAGATTGGAGATGACAACTGGCCGTGAAGTCTACATGCAGCTCATCGTGATCAACTGCATCAGACCAAGTAGGATTAAGTTGCAGGCTGTAAACTACGCGTACGGCTCTTGGCAATGCAAAGGAAACGACGTCACGTTGTCGCATCATGCGAGGACGGCGGGTCAATCGATCAACTGAGGCACCCCGTGCACAACAATCTTAGTGAGCTAATAGGTCTGAAAGCAAAATCCGCTGGCGTGAACACCGGAAAACAAACGGACCCTTCGCTTCAAACCTGATAGCCCAAGGCGCAAAAAACGAACCTACCGCACTCGATGATTTTATGTTTGATGTTCTTGGCGAGATAAAACCAGCAGTGGAAGAGAACACGCCCCCGACAAAGACCCCTTCCCCTCGCCTTCCGGGCCTTGCCCATCCGTCATACTGCAATCGACAGCACATCACCGTCCTGGGTTCTGACAAGACAAGCAAAGCTTGCTCACGTTTCATCCTTGTCGTCACCCGTCGCTTGTCCCCGTTATGGTGCGCCACCGCTCTCTGCTGCCCCGCCGCCAGGTCGACGCGCTCCATCCCGACCCACTCGTCCAATCTCCGGTCGAAGTCCACATAGTGCACGTAAACAGCCCCTCCACCTCCTGCACTGCTAGACCCGCTGGGCTCACCTCCAGCCGCCGCGGCCTTTGGAGCTGCCTTATCTTTATCCGTAGATCCAGCCTTGGCAGCGGCGGAGGCCGTGGCGGCGTCCGAGCTTCCCTCCGCCTTCCTGATCTCGACGATCTCGGCGAGGTGCACCGTACCGTCGCGCCACGCTACCTTCCACCTTTGCCCTACCTGAATTTTCATGTTCAACGTTAGTATCTTTGTTGCCATCGACGACATGAATGATACGCGTGGGCCTGGCGGTGCCATGCATTCGTTTTCGAGCAAACAGGTGCCGCGTGTATGTTATGTGCAGGTCGAAATAGTTCATACTATTCAAGTAGGCGCAGCAACCACAGCAGTGTTGTTCCTAAATCTTCAAGCTCGCGGGACAGTGGGGAAGTCAAGGCCTGTGCAGCCAACGATATCCAGAGTACACTCGGTCTCCTCGTAGTAGACAGCTGAGACAGCACCACAGAAGAGCGGCGATTGTTGTCCATTTTCTTGCTCAACGCTCCGGATCGGAGCGCTCTCCGGTGGCGGCTTCGAGCGACGACAGCGTGGACAGGTGATCAGATTTGTCAATATATGTACACAATGGTTCTATTTCCGGCAGGTGTGTTGCTAAATCTTCATTGCACCATGGTAGTCATTGCGCGACAGTTTCGCCGCTTGTGGTTGTCGAAATCGTATGTACGAAGTATGACACAAGACAACACACCCACATAAGTATTACAACACTGCCCTCAACACAACACCACACCTAGTGGTGATGATTTGAAGGGTCAACATGACCCCACAACACAATTCTAGACTTGCATCAAGCAATAAGGGCTGCAAAAAAATACCACCCACATCAAAAACACATCCGGAGGTGACAATTACATACTAAACAGGTTATCAACGTGGTGTGTGTGGGGGGTGTTGTCTCAAGTAGCAAAAACAACTTGGTGCTCTGGAACGCTGGTGCGAAACAGCGGTCCTTTCTTCCGCTGGCGTTGATTAAAAACATGAACGAGGTATGTCAACCTAGTCTATCGTTCTTGATAATTGGCAATGGAACGTGCTGGAAGCACACCTCATGACAAGTTTGAGTTTCCAACGATACAGCAGTAGACTGGCCCACCACACTGCTGTTGTAAACTAAACGTAAATGATTTAGAGAAGATACGTACTGGGAGGAGTGATACGTACGAATGCTCGAGTTCTTGTGCGTACAAACGGAGAGGGATGTCTAGTGCTAACGATTCATGCTGACACCTCGGGTCAACCTACACTTGCGCATGGCCAACGGGAAATCAACAACGTTAGTTCGCGACAGGGGAGAACGACATCGCTTCAAATGGGCGGTGGAATCACTTGCCTGGGGGATTACTTCTTCATTCTCCGTCTTGGAGGCGCCGCCCTCCACCAGCACCTCCAGTGATGACGGGTTCGTTGTCGAAGTCCTTTGAGGCATGCTTTTTGTTCGCGACACCCTGCTTTATAAGGGTGCGTGCGGTGTGGATCGGCGCCCCTCACAGCGCGCGCGCCGTGTAGCTGCGCGTGCCGCGCTTTGATTTCGCGGAGCCCCATTTTTTTTTGTTTTTACAGTCTAGTCACTTGCTTGGTGCCGTGAGCACTGCGCAGGGCTGTGCCGGGTGGCGTGTGTGTCTCTCTCGTGATCTTCTTCTCTTGAAGCGTAGATCACCCTGAATGAACGACTTGTGCGCGGATAAAGCTGCGACATGAGAACAGAGCCTTCTGCAATCCTGCTGTAGCAATTGAGAAGGTGAAAAGTTTCAATTTGAAAAGCAGCTGTGATCATGAAACAAAACAGGCGCGGCCGTGGCGCCCACGGCGGCAGCAGCAGCGTCGTCGTCCCCGGCTACTTCGGCGAGGTACGGATGCTGTTGCAGCTGGCGACGGCCTTTTTCCTTGCTCAGGTGGCGAGATCCTTCGTTGCAGAAGTTCCGGGAATGTGGCCACGTCGTTCAAGTACCTGCACCAGAGGCAGCACCACCAGCGCCTGCCCTTGCGACAACCGCCAGGCGAGCAGAAAGGTCAGGTGGAGCCTTGAGGCCGTTTACGGCGTCCAGCACGAGCGTAGTGGCAGCAGCAACAGTACCAAGCGTCCATGGTCATCCCGGGGAGTAGGAACGAGGTTGTGGGTCGCCGGCAAAGAGCAGAGGCAGGGCGTTGCTGCTGCAAGCGCAAGAAGCACCATTGCGGATAACACCACACGAGCGACAGGATCAACCAGCAGCAGCAGCAGCAGCAGCAGCAGCAGCAGCAGCAGCAGCA